CCATGCTGAGGCCGCGTCCCACATACAGCAACTAGAAGGATGTGCACCTATGACATACAACTATCTACTGGGGCTTTGGGGGGAAAATAAATAAATAAAATCTTTAAAAAAAAAAAAAATTATACAGTCCTTTGCAGCATTATTCACTATAGCTGAGACATGGAAGAAACACAAGTGTCCATCAACAGATGATTGGATAAAGATGTGGTATACATAGACAATGGAATACTACTCAGCGATAAAAAAAAGACAAAATCCTCCCATTTGCAACAACATGGATAGACCTGGAGGGTATTGTGTTAAGTGAAATAAGCCAGACAAAGACAAACACTGTATGACCTCTCTCATATGTGGAAGATAAACGAACACACAGACAGAGAGAACAGTTTGGTGGTTACCAGGAGAAAGGGAGTTGGGGGGGTGGGCACAAGGGGTGAAGGGGTACATTTATACGGTGACTGACAAATAATAATGTACAACTGGAATCTCACAATGTTATAAACTATTATGACATCAATTTAAAAAATTGAAAAAAAATTATACATTCCTAGAAATTTGAATTTAACAGGCCTGGAAAGGGATCGAGGAATCTGTATGTTTAATAAGTTCCCAAGGGAGAGGGGTTGATAAAAAAGTGAGAGTGATGAAGGGGTCCACAGCAGTATTATTGCCTAATCTGACTGCTTTTAAATCTAAATTGTATTTTTTTTCAACTCCCCTCCCAGACACGGGGAACCAAATCAAAAGAGCACAGTAAGAGAAAAGCATAATTCATGCAAAATCTTTTTATCCTGCAAGCCTGGCTTCATTTTGGTATTGGGTGTGTTATGAAGCCAGAGGGAGTGTAACAGAAATTTGAACAAGGAGGAGAAACTGAGAAGAGAACTCAGTAGGTGGAAATCTCCAGCAGCGAAATAAAAGATCTAAAACTGCAGAAACACTTGCACCGCCCAGGAGGATAGGTGTAACTCACAGAGGAAGTGGTAGTATTTAATTTTGATAAAACATCTGTACTGAGAATCCCTTGGCCCCCTGGGAGGTGTAAGAGAAGCATCTGATCCGAGGCTCTGAGCTGAAGTCCAAACACATGATCTGGGAATAATGTGTTTTTGGTGCTTTTGTTGTTTGTTTTTTTTCCAAACTAGCAGAAGTAGAATTATCATTCAGTTCTGGAGAAATTGGTGAAGGCTGGTTGGAGGGCAGGGGTTCTTGTCCAGGAATAGAAAGTAGAGCATTCTAGGCAGTGGACACAGTGTGAGGAAATGCCCAGGGGAAAGAAAGAATGTGGGACACATGAGGAACAGTGAAGACATCAGCTTTTTGAAGCAGGGGGTAGGGTCTGTGTGCAGGGATGGCAATGTGTGACGGGATGCACCTCAACGTCTCCTTCCCACACCCACAGCAGACATTGCTAATCCATCCCAGAATGTTCCTGCTGGACATATCTTAGAATCCTTCACAAGACAGTGTGTAGGCTGCTACTGCCATTTGATCAGAGTTGGCACATGATGTTAACTCAATCTGTAGTCTGAGAAATAGTTACACATAAGAATAAATTGTACAGGTAATGTGCTGTTCAATTCTGACTGTTATGGCTATACCTCTGGCCTCAAGAATGAATTATCTATTACCTTTAAAAAATATACTGGGAAAATTAGTGTAGTTAAAACACATACACAGAGAGCTACTGCTGCTGCTTTTGAGTATCATTATCGGAAGAAAAATGTACCAGTAGGGCTATATTCTTAACAGAAAATTACTTCTTTAATAAAAACAATTCTTTGAGGGAAAAAAAATCAGTATAGCCAATCAAAATCAGTTTAGCCAA